GCTTCACGCTGAACAACAGGAGATGGATCTGTTCGAGGAAAGACAACCAAGGAAGCAACAGCAGTTAGTCTTCTACACTCAAAGAAGAAATGACAACAACTACAACCGACGCAGCAAGCAAGATCAACGCGACAACCGAGGACTCACCATCGTACCGCCATTCTGCCACAACTGCCAGACTTCCGGGCACTCCAAAGTCAACTGCAACCGCCCTCGCGTTTACCGTGCAGCAGACCCACAAGTCGCTTCCACTCAAGCAAGTCCTCCAAGGCGCTCTTCAACATCTGCACAACAAACACCCAACATCATCAACTGCATGGTACACATCGACAACTGCGCACCCGGTTCACCACCCACTTACGCACCAGACGAAGAGGAATTCCCGCCACCGCGCTCGCAAGGACTTCAGGTTAACCCGACATACGCTGCAGTCGCCAACGCCGAACCCACCGGGCGAAACACCTGGTTCTTGGACAGCTGCTGCGGTCAACACATGTGCTCCTCGGGACGCTTCGTGCAACAGGAGAAACGACTCAACCGCGACGTCGTCATCACAGTCGCCAACAACGAAAACCTGAAGACAAACAGACAAGGCGTGGTTCAGCTACAATCCATGGAAACAAACGTAATACTGCAGCTCAACAAGGTCCTCATCGTCGACAATCTGGGATACAACCTATTAAGCGTAAGCCAACTAATGGCTAAGGGGATTCACCTGGAGTGCGACTCCTTCTCCAACGAGTTCCGACTTTACCACGGGAAGGGCGGTCTCTTCATCGGTCGTGCCCTCCTGAAGTCCGGTGTCTTCGTGTTGGACTTCGTCCCCGACCGCGGAACTGCCGACAGCGACGGTATCGTATCCTTCGCCGCCTGGACTCATCCGCCAGATCTTGATCCCGACTTCGACAGCGACGGCTTCTGGCACTCCAACACCATACCTGCAGCAGAGAGAACACGAGCATTAGCAGTTATCAGACAAGAAAGACAAGTACCCGCAAGTGTCCCAACAAAACCATCACCTGCAGTATCGGCAGCAGGACCCAGCCGAGTACCACCACCATCAACACGAGGACCGCCAACGGAAGCAGACCAACTTATGCCCGCCACACGAGAAGCTTGTCGAAGTCCCGCCTCGGTCGTCGCGTTCTTCTCCAACGCCGACATCTACCACCGCTCGCCCGGTCACCGTGCTCCCGACGACATCTGGCACCAACGCCTCGGACACCCTGCAAACAGCACAATACTTCAAACAATCCAAGCAGAGGTGTTAGAACGCAACGCCCTTCTGACGACGAGCGGTCAAGAACTTCGACGACCACGCGCACGGTGCTTCACATGCCCCGAAGCAGATCTTCCTCATCAACCTTTTTCATCCCATCACAACCCAAGCGCACCTACTTACGCTCCGATGGAAAAAGTCTACAGCGATATTTTAAACATGCCTCGAGACGACGCAGAAGCCGACTTTAACTACGTCATCACTTTCATCGACGCCGCAACCAGATATGTCTGGCACTTCAATCTCAAAACGCGCGACCAAGCCTTCGAAGCCTTCACAACATGGCTCCCCATCGCCGAACGAGAATCAGGACTCAAACTCAAGAGCTTCCAGTCAGACGGTGCACTGGAATACCAGTCACAACGCTTCAGGACCTATCTGGCGGAAAGGGGAATCAGACGCCTGGTGTCCCTGCCCTATGCTCACCAACAGCAGGGGGTAGCAGAACGCATGAATCGGACCTTGCAGACGACGCTGCGAAAACTGCTTCAGGGGATGCGACTGCCAACCACACTGTGGCCAGACGCGATGACACATGCTGTTCACCTGCACAACCTGCTGTCCTCGTCATCACTTCCCAACAACGCATCACCGCACCTGTTGTGGACAAGAAAAAGGGGCAGCACAAAATTACTCCGCGTTTTCGGCTGCATGGTACAGTACAGACCCCACACAGCCCGAGCAGGACGCTTCTCACAAAGAGCTCGATGGGGACTACACCTCGGCATCGCAAAACATTTTCACGCGTGGAAAATTCTCGACATACAAGACAAAAACACGGTGGCATCACGCGATGTTATCTTCTACGAACGACTGACGCTGCAGCATTACCTGGACAACCTTGCCAACACACAAGACCCCACCGACGGCTTCGCGGGCCTTCGCTCCTTCGCTGACCATACTGCCAAGGCTGACGCAGCAGAAGAAGACGTACCTGGAGCCTCGGAAGCTGCCGGACCACTCCCATTCTGTTCCGCACCTGTTCCACTCGATGAAGAAAATCCCCTCGATAGCAACAACCTCGACACCTTTTACCACTTCGCCGACCAAGGTTACGCTACACCTCACCCCGTCGACACGAATATTTCGGAACGCATCGGCCCCAATTTCTTACCTGACCCCGAAGACGGTGACGAAGCAGCTTATTCCGGGAATGAAAATTCCCCTCGACACACGCCCACGGGACTCCAGATTCTAGGCCTCTGGGTCTCCGTCCAGAATCCGCCGCCGCCTTCTCCGCGAGAGCCTTCAACGTTGTCGCAGGCTCTGGGGGGGGAACATAAGGCAAGATGGAAGGAAGCAATGGAAAAGGAGTTAAAAGCTCTGCAAGACCGAGAAACATGGAAACTGGTACCTGCAACGAACATCAACGGGAAGAACGTTCTCTCGGGGAAATGGGTGTACCGCATCAAGACCAACTCAGACGGCTCCATCGAACGATTCAAAGCTCGATGGGTCGTACGAGGCTTCGATCAACGATACGGAACCGACTACACAGAAACCTTCGCTCCAGTCTCCCGTCACACCTCATTACGCATCCTACTCGCCGTCGCGGCCACGAAAACACTACCACTACGCCAAATCGATGTCGCGAATGCGTTCCTATACGCACCTGTGGACGCTGAGATCTTCGTCGAACAACCCCACGGATTCATCGACGACCCCACGAAAATATGCCGACTGACAAAATCCCTATACGGGATCAAGCAAGCCCCGCGGCTCTGGCAGCAGCATCTTCACAGCCGTCTCGTAAAAATCGGCTTCCTACAGCTACCACATGACCAAGGCATGTACCGACTGCAGAAGGGAAGAGATTACATTCTGCTCATCGTCTACGTCGACGACCTGCTCTACATCGGTTCTACCACCGACATCGTCACCCGGTTCGAAGGGGAGCTGAAAGGGGACCTGACGCTCACAGTGTCCGACTCAGTGACCCAGTACTTGGGGCTAAATATCGTCGAAGACAACTCGGCGTTCTACCTACACGCTGGAAAGTACGCAGGCACTGTCGCGAAGAAATTCGGACTAACACCGGCTACCGCCTCAACTCCCTACCGCTACGGAAACAACAACAGCGCCTCCGCAAAACTCCCCGCGAAGCAAATCCAGGAGTATCAACAGAAGCTCGGCTGCCTACTATTTGCAGCAGTAACCTGCCGACCCGACCTGTCCTATAGTGCAAGTCAACTGGCGACGCATCTGAAGCAACCGGAACAGGAGGATCTCGAGGAGCTCAACCGGGCACTACTCTACTTCATCTCCACGCCGACGATCGGACTTACCTACAGCAAAGCTACAACATCGTCCGTACAACTACTCGGATACGTCGACGCCGACCACGCGGGAGATAGGGAAAATCGACGATCTAGGACGGGCTACATCTACCGACTAGAACCCATCGGAACTATCTCCTGGCAGTCGAGCAAGCAGGAGTTAATCGCACTATCCTCTGCTGAAGCAGAGTACATCGCCCTTTGTACCGCGACCAAGGAAGGACTCTACCTGCGAGAGTTACTCGAGGAAGCGAAGATCGCGACCCTGCCCGCCTTCTCACTCTTCTGCGACAACCAATCTGCGATCAAAATCGCAAACAAGGACGGCTTCGCCAACCGAACCAAGCACATCGCCCTGCGGTACTTCTTCGTCAAGGATGAAATCGCGAAGGGGAGACTTCAACTCAGTTACTGCCCGACGACAGAAATGGCCGCAGACTATTTGACGAAGAAATTGGCGAAGGCAAAATTCGACTACTGCATGGTGCTGACCGGACAAACAAACGTCATCGGACCTGAACAAGTCAGCACTCCAGAAACGAAGGGGAGTGTTGAAAGTACATCAAAAGACTTAAGCGTTTCTGAAGTGTAACACTACACTCGAGGAAGATTGCAAGGGGTACGCGAGTCAACGGAGGTTACACGAGGGGGCGGACAAAGAACACGAAGGGTCTGGGACTCAAAGGGTCGCAACTGGAGGTTGCGACTGACCGTTACAGCATCACGGATGGTAACCGAAGCGGCAATCGAGTCGCTATGCGACTCGATAAACCGTTCCTGTAACTGTACTCTGCAACTGCTTTCTTATCTTCTATATATTGCTGTATGCTTGTTTCTTTAATCAATCACTTGTTCTCACATACTAGTATAAGGGTTCAACTGTCTCAACTTCCGCTGCACTACTCCAAGTCTCAAGTCTCTACAAGCTGGGACTTAGTCTCTGCAAAAGATCCTAAGGGCTTTTCTCAGCCCAACATTCTGAACCCTTACAAATCAGGGTAGGCAATTTTTGAAACCTGAGCCCTCAGGGTAAACTTTTTTTTTTATTCGACAGCTCAGGGGGGGTTTTTTTGAAACGTCAGCCCTGGGCTGGACTAGTAGTGCCGCCCTGGTCTTGCTCTTGTCTTGGTCTGTTCTCGTTTGACTGGTCTTTAGACCCTTGTCTCAGAGGCTGGACTAGTAGTGCCGCCCTGAGCTGCTTGTCTGCATGTTAGGCACTGCCCCTATATAGTCTAGGGGGTGTGTCAAAACATAACTTAGTATGTTATTGTAAACTGTATAGGTTTGTGCCTTAGAGGGTACAGCACTAGCCTATATTCTCTTGTACTCTCACATTGTAGTTATGCCAACATTCTAACAAATCTATATAAATATACTTGTTGACATATATGCCCTTGCTAGTTCACTTTGTTACTCTAAGGGGGCATCTGTTGTAGTATTTAGAACTCAATCAGCTTAATTTATTTTCGCTAGACAGGTCTCCTATACGACGATGCAATTGCCCCGCATGGCTTGGACGGTCAATGCCCGCAACAAGCAACACGCACACAACCGCAGTCGCCAGTCAATCCAGTTTTCAACAATACCCCAGCTACCAACAAAACCCTTGCAGGAGGAGAGCTGCCACATCATGGTGCGGTACTAGTCTCGCATACAGGTGCACTGGCACAACTGCCACTTCTGTCCTCCCTGTTACTTGTACGCATCCTGCCTTGAGTGTAATTGGTAGGTACTTTCAGACACCCGTGATTCCTAGAGGAAGAGCAGGGAGCCGAGGGCAACCATGATGGCAGTGGCAAGTGCACTGACGGGAGATGCAAGCGAGCCTGTCAAAGAGGGGGAGGAGGGGACGGCGAGGGCGCGAGAAGGCAAGGGAAGTAGAATAAGGGATTAGCAAGCCACGGGTGGGGAAGAGGGACAAAAAAAAATTGTTGATGTGATGGCAGGAAGGTGGGGAAAAGGGCAGGGAATTTCCTGATCAATGAGGGGAGAAAGGTAAACCGGTAGCGCACGAGTACAGCGCAACAGGACAGCAGAAACAGGAGCATGAGAGCAGCAGTAGCACAGCAGAAGCAACCTACCAGCAGGTCTGGGTGGCGGTGGTGCAGCTGTGCCAGTGGTGGTGGAAGGCGCAGCAGGGCCACTGGGGGCAGGAGAAGCAGAGCCGAAAGACACGGTGCCATCGGTGTTGAGAGTGAGCAGCAGGCCCGTGTTCACCACCCGCCCGTTGCTGCCAACCACAGTGCCGTTGGCCCACCCGGTCAGGTCCCCTGCAATGAACGAGCCGTCAGAGTTCGCAGTAGGAGTGATGCGTGTGCCTGTAGCAGCGTCCACAATGGTGCCATTGGTGTACATGGTGGTGCCGCCCACAGTGAACCCGTCAGTCGTGCCGGATGCAGGGTTGGTGTAGATTGAGATGCCAGGGGCAGTGAGGGTGCCGGTGCTGGGGAGATACGAGTACTTGCCATCTTCAATCGTGAAAGAGCCGTCAGCGTTTTGAGTGGGAGTGACTACTGCGCCAAGAGAGTCCACAATGGTGCTGTTCTGATAGAGGGTGTAGCCATCGAAAGTAAGGCTACCATCAGAGTTCCTTGTGACGGTGCCAGTGGTATCAGCAGGTGTGGGAGAAGGGGAGGAAGGAGGAGCGGGAGCAGGGACGGAACCAGGGGCGGGAGTGGGAGAAACAGCGGTGACAGTCCCATCTGAGTTGACCGTGAGAGCCAGGCCAGTGCTGACCACCACACCGCTGCTGCCAGTAACAGTGCCATTCGGCCACCCAGTGAGATCGCCTGCAGTGAACGACCCATCCGCGTTCTGAGTAGCAGCAACTGGCTGCCCGGTTGCGGCGTCAACAATGGTGCCGTTGGGAAACATGGTGGTGGCCCCAACCGTCACGCTGCCAGGTCCAGCCGCAGCACCGCCATCACCAAACGTCTGCAGCACCACCCCCTGCCCTGCCAGAGTGCCATTCATAGGGAAGTAGCTGTAGCCTGAGAGCTCGTACGACCCGTCCTGGTTCAGTGGAGGCGTGAAGGGCCCACCGCTAGAGTCTACTATGGTTCCGTTGTTGTAGATTGTGGTGATGCCGTCTAAGGTGATACTGCCATCAGGGTTGGTGGTGATGACGGAACCAGAGCCAGGGGCAGGGACGGAGCCAGGGGCAGGGACGGAGCCAGGGGCAGGGACGGAGCCAGGGGCAGGGACGGAGCCAGGGGCAGGGACGGAGCCAGGGGCAGGGACGGAGCCAGGGGCAGGGACGGAGCCAGGGGCAGGGACGGAGCCGGGGGCAGGGATAGAGCCGGGGGCTGGGACAGAGCCGGGGGCTGGGCTGGAGCCAGGTGCGGAAGGAGAAGAGACAGCAATGGTGCCGTCTGGGTTGACAGCAAACTGCTTGCCGGTATTCACCACCGCGCCGTTGGTCCCCACAATCGTGCCATTCGCAAACCCAGTCAAGTCGCCAGCAGTGAACGACCCGTCTGCATTGGCTGTTGGCACGATCGGGGTTCCAGCAGCATCCAGCACCGTGCCATTGGCCAGCAGCGTCGTGCTGCCAACCGTGTAGCTGGGTGCGTCTCCGGTGGATATGGCGAGGCCGGGAGCAGCGAGCGTGCCGTTGGGGTAGACGGTGTAATCACCGCCGACGGTGAACGATCCGTCAGGGTTGGCAGTGGGAGTGACGGAAGCGCCAGTAGAGTCAAGCACAGTGCCATCCGCCATGAGGGTGTAGCCCGGGCCGAACGCCACGCTGCCATCGGGGTTGACGCTCACGCTGCTGCCGCTGGGGCCGGAGGGGATGGGAGAAGGGACGGAGCCGGGGGCGGGGATGGAGCCAGGGGCGGGGAGGGAGCCGGGGGCGGTTGGGGAGGCAACGAGGGTGCCATCGGGGTTGACATTGAATGTACGCCCGGTGTTCACCACCTCGCCGCCTTTGCCCACAACCGTACCGTTGGGGTAAACCACGAGGTCTCCCGCTGTCACCGAACCGTCCGCATTGGCCGTCGGCTTAATCGGCTTCCCCGACGCGTCCACGATCGTTCCATTAGCCAAGAGCGTCGTTTTCCCGACGGTAAACCCGGTGCCGCCGCTGGAAATCACGACGCCGGGAGCACTGATCGTGCCGTTGGGGTATGCGGTGTAGTTGCCACCGACGGTAAACGATCCGTCCGGATTGGCGGTGGGAGCGACGGGCGCGCCAGTGGAATCCACGACCGTGCCGTTCGGCAGCAGAGTGTATCCCGGTCCGAACGACACACTCCCGTCGGGGTTGACGCTAACGCTCCCGCCGCTGCCTGTGCCTCCGCCGCTGCCGGTGCTGCCGCCGCTACCGGTGCCTCCGCCAGTCCCGGTGCTTCCGCCAGTCCCGGTGCCTCCGCCAGTGCCGGTGCTTCCGCCAGTCCCGGTGCTTCCGCCGGTGCCGGTGCTTCCGCCGGTGCCGGTGCCTCCGCCGGTGCCGGTGCCTCCGCCGGTGCCGGTGCTTCCGCCGGTGCCGGTGCCTCCGCCAGTGCCGGTGCCTCCGCCAGTGCCGGTGCCTCCGCCAGTGCCGGTGCCTCCGCCGGTGCCGGTGCTTCCGCCGGTGCCGGTGCCTCCGCCGGTGCCGGTGCCTCCGCCGGTGCCGGTGCCTCCGCCCGTGCCGGTGCCTCCACCGGTGCCGGTGCCTCCGCCGGTGCCGGTGCTTCCGCCGGTGCCGGTGCTTCCGCCGGTGCCGGTGCTTCCGCCGGTGCCGGTGCTTCCGCCGGTGCCGGTGCTTCCGCCGGTGCCGGTGCTTCCGCCGGTGCCGGTGCTTCCGCCGGTGCCGGTGCTTCCGCCGGTGCCGGTGCTTCCGCCGGTGCCGGTGCTTCCGCCGGTGCCGGTGCTTCCGCCGGTGCCGGTGCTTCCGCCGGTGCCGGTGCTTCCGCCGGTGCCGGTGCCTCCGCCGGTGCCGGTGCCTCCGCCGGTGCCGGTGCCTCCGCCGGTGCCGGTGCCTCCGCCGGTGCCGGTGCCTCCGCCGGTGCCGGTGCCTCCGCCGGTGCCGGTGCCTCCGCCAGTGCCGGTGCCTCCGCCAGTGCCGGTGCTTCCGCCAGTGCCGGTGCCTCCGCCAGTGCCGGTGCTTCCGCCGGTGCCGGTGCCTCCGCCGGTGCCAGTGCCTCCACCAGTGCCGGTGCCTCCGCCGGTGCCGGTACTTCCGCCGTTGCCGGTGCCTCCACCGGTGCCGGTGCTTCCGCCAGTGCCGGTGCTTCCGCCGGTGCCGGTGCCTCCGCCGCCAGTCGGATTGAATGAGAGCCGCGTTCGCAGCACCACGCCGTTAGACCCCACGAACGTGCCGTTCGCCCAGCCGGTAAGATCCCCGGCGGAGAATGAACCATCGGGGTTCTCAACCCACGTCAGCACCTCGCCCGTGGTCGCATCCCTCGCAATCCCACCCTTGCCGTACAGCTTCGTACCGGCTAGTTGGACGAAGCTCTTCGCGCCGTCGATGACTATAGTCACGCCCGGCGCGGCGATGGTGCCGTTCGGGAACCACGTGTACTTGCCCTCCACGGTGAGCGACCCGTCGGGGTTCTTGACCGGCGTGACCTTGGCGCCTGTTTCACTGTCGTACACGACGTTGCCGTTGATGGTGTAGTTGTCGATCGTCAGGCTGCCGTTTAAGTTACTGATGACGAGAGTGTTGACTTGCGCGGCGACCGTTGTCGTCACAGCGGTCGCCGAGATGGTGACGGCGAGCAGCAGCAAGGCGAGCGAGAGACGCTGGTCCGCCATTGAGGCAGGCAGCAAGAACGCTCGTCGGATGCACGGCTGGGTGACGTCGCAATGTGCGTGGAAAGCGCTGCTGGCAAGAAATCGAAATTCTTTCCTAAACGCGCTTGTTCAACTTGCCTTTGCTGAACTGCAGCTCGACCAGGCTTGATGTAGGGAGCAAGATTGAAGGGCGGATGGGGGAGGGGTGAAAGTCGAAATGCAGCGCATGCGGGATCGTGGGGCGCATTCCGGACTCGGGTCATGTCTTCCGAGCCTCAACTTTGGGTCTTCCGAACCTAACTTCTGCTCGACGACGGTCGATGTGCGACAGTGCTTAGCGATGGAAATGTCACCGACACAATTTCCGCCAAAATGCACATTCAATTCGCGTTCTCTGTATGTGTTTCGCAAACAAAAGTTCGTCAAATTCGTTCGTGTGCGTCTGTGCGTGCTACGTTTGACTTTCGTGGACCCGAAGTCTCGGGTTTTCCGGCTTCGTGTCTTTCAAGTCGTCCCGAAGATTGACACGATCCAGGAATGCGCCCTTGTTCTTGCGCTGTTACCACTGTCAGCACCTAAGAAATAGGAAAATTGCCCGGACTCTATATAATTTCTGGGTAGGCCTAATTCTGGATTTTGACGAGTTCAGCCTCTATCTACCCTCCTGGGATCTCCTTAAAGCCCAAAAAGCCTCTATCTACACGGTTAAGTCAATCTAGAGTGGGTCTGGGAGACTTATACTTCTACCGGTATGTGCTTTTGTGAGCCTGGAAAGTTCATGTCGGTTCTCCACAGACAAATCTCCTACTCTCCTCACCTCTCTAAATTCCCTAAACATTGATAGGGAATCAATCTCCAAAGTTGCTTGAATTGCCTCGTCAATACTCAGATCGCTTCCCCAACAGGGTTTCGCACTGTTATTCTAGACGGGAACAGGGTGCTGTCGGTTGATTCCCCAAGATCTACTGAAATAGAGGGTAATTTAGGACACGATTCCTCTTGGTCCCAAGCTCTGCTGCTGCCCGCTGCAGGCGATGCTGCCTTTCGCCCTGCACCTTTGCACTGCCTCCTCCAGGGGCGCACATTCGAGAAGCTCCATGGATGACCACCAATCCAACATCCATCGCCCTCCACAGAACGTCGGTGAAGGTGCGCCGCCGCCTCAGCAGCAAGAACCCCTAGTGCGGTTCGCGAACCATGCGGCTTGCCTTGCTGGTGCGGCTCTATTGGCTGCGACGGTCAAAATTTGACCCTCTTGCGCTGGCAGGGTTGAGATCAGGCACGTCGCTAAAAGAGTATTTACCCTTAATATCGAGAAATTAAGAGTTTTTTTTCAGTTCATTCTCCTGACTCCGACCACGTAACGGATTAGGTTCCGTGCGATTCCTTGACGTCACCGGGTTAGGGCTGGTACATTTTGTTCGGAAAGCATTGACGTTCGAACTCGTAGAGAGGCTGTAGAGGATTTTGTAAGTTGCAGTAACAATTACTAGTTTATGTTATGATATGAGAAATGTCAGTGTACTATAATGTGAGAATGCAAGGTCGCTATTGCAATGAAAGGCACGATATTATATAGGGGTTGGCGTACTAGGGCGATAACCTCAGGACGTGGGTAGGTTCGGCAATGTGGCGACAGTGCCGGACGCGACTCGGGGAAGGGTTGGGCTGATGATTGAGGCCCAACGTGACGAGTCGAGGAGTTCGGGTGTACGCGCTAGCGTACGACTTAGTAAGGAATGGAAATTCCTTACACTACTCCCCCCCCCCCCCCCCCCTTCTAAACGAGACCGTGGGCATCGAAAACATTCCGGCGCTGATAATACGCTGTTAGAATCGGATGTGATTCTAGCTCAGCGAGCGGCACCCAGCTGTCGTCTTCTGACGTGCGATCGCGCCAGAAAGTCAACTATCCGATGGTTCAGCTGCGTCGTGACTCGATGGCCGAGGATTTTCAAAGGCTCGGTCGTCGGTTCTTGTAGCGGCGTCAGCTGCGGTACACCGCGTTGGCGTGCCAATTCTGACGAACTGGGGACGTAGGGCCGTAAGAGGCTCACGTGGAAAACCGGGTGGTGACACCAATCAGCCGGGAGTCGGAGGTGCGCAGTGACAGGTGTCATCATGTTTGTCACTTGAAATGGCCCACAGAATCTGGGTCGGAGCTTGCTCGGGATCGGCAGCCACAAATTGCGAGTGTCGATGAGGACGATCTCCCACTTTGTAAGTGACGCCGCGTCAATGGCGATCGGCTTGTCGACTTGCGACCAGGTTGGCTTTCCGAATTGCCTCCCCTGCTTTTTCTCGGGCGGCGAGAATGTCTTCAGCAAATTTATGGGACCGGGGCACGGGTGTCTCGATGTTCGGGGTAGAGGGTACCACTGGGTCCTGTCCGTAGTTGAGGGAACATGGGGACTGATGGGTTGTGGCGGAGGGTGCGTTATCATACGCGAATTCCAGCAGCGGAAGGGATTTCTCCCATGTCAGTGGGTCAGTACAGGTAGTCCGAATGAGTTGCTTCATAGTTTGGTTGACTCGTTCGTTCTGCCCGTCGGTCTGCGGGTGGTAGGCAGAGGAAAACTGTAGTTAGGTGCCGAATTGGTCCCACAGGTGGCGCTAGAAATTCGATGTGAATTTCAGGTCTCGGTCTGAAATAATTGCGGTAGGCAGTCCATGCAGTCGAATGACATTGGCGATGAACAGTTGGGCAGTTTGCTCAGCTGTAATTGTCTGTTGGCAGGCGATGAAGCGCGCCATTTTCGTGAGTCGGTCAACGACCACGAGGATGGCGCCGTTTCCGCTGGGACCGGCTAGCAGTCCTGTCACGTAGTCAATAGTTAGCGAAGCCTAGGAACTGCTGTAACTCCTTCACGTTCTCGGGTGTTTTCCACGTACGCACCGCTTCGATTTTCTTGGGGTCGACGTGAACTCCTTGAGCGCTTACGATATGTCCGAGGAATTGGACTTTCTCAAGGGCGAAGTCGCTCTTGGATATTTTGACGTAGAAGCGTTCTCGTCGAACAATCTCGAAGACGCGTCGCAGGTGTTCGACGTGTTATTGCATGTCGCACGAGTAGACGAGGATGTCGTCCAAGTACACCACCACGCACTTGTCCAAGAGTGGGCGTAGGATGTGATTCATTTCTGCTTGGAAAGTTGCAGGTGCGTTGGTGAGTCGGAACGGCTTACCAGATACTCGAACGATCCGGACCGAGTTCGGAAGGCAGTTTTGTGAACGGACTCGTCCGCCATTCGTATCTGCCAGTATCCGAAACGCAGATCTAGTTTTGAAAATACCGTGGCTCCCCGAAACTGGTCAAGCAGGTCATCGATTCGTGGAATCGGGTACTTGCTTTTTATGGTCTGCTTGTTGAGAGCTCGGTAATCGATGCACATGCGCAGGCTTCCGTCCTGTTTCGGTGTGAAGAGTACTGGGGCACCGTATGGTGAAGTGGATGGTCGGATGAGTCCTTTGGCAAGGAGGTACTCGATTTGCTTTTTCATGTCGGCTAGCTCTGTAGGGCTGAGCCGGTATGGTGCTCGGAAGGCCGGCTTCGAACCTGGTTCCTCCACGATCTTGTATTGGTGCATTCGGTATGGCGGTTGCTCGTCCAGGAGGTCGTCAGGAAGAATGTCTTGGAACAACTTCAGTAAGTCCATGAATTGTTCTGGAGGTTCCGAGGCTTTCTCTCTGTCATTCTCCACCTATGCTGCTATCGCCAGAAATCCGGTGTTGGTTCGTTTCACGTCCTTCTCGAATCTGGCGAGTCTCTCCACTCGGATTTCTCCTGTGTCGTCCTAGTTGGGTAGCTGGACTTTCCTTCCTTTGTTGTAGATGCTTGCGATGCGGTTTACCCAATTGATCTCGGGGTTGAATTTCTTGAGGAAGTCTCGCCCAAAGATCAGTTCAAGCCCTTTTTTGTTGGTGATGGGGAGTGCAGGTTTCCAGTGCAGTGGTCCGATTTGTAGGTGTAACAATGCTTCGCCGTACCCTGGTAACTTGCTGCCGTCCACCATCGTTGCAGAAAACTCTGATGGCTTGCACTCTTCTCGAAGTTGGTCGATGGTTGCCTTGTCGCATACGGTGTGCGACGCTCCGCTGTCCACGAGTGCTTGGAGGCGTCGTCCTTAGCAGATGACCTCGAGCACGAGGGGCAAGTGTTTCTCGGATTACCCAAAGATAGTTTCATTGATAGGATAATAGGGTACATCCCAATATTCCATACACACCTTTGTGTTGCTATCTACTCCTGAGCTGGCAGTTGGCCGAGGCTGCTTGGAGAAAGGTTCTTCTCCAGGGCCCGGAGTTTCCGTGACGACTGTTTATGTCGTTGACGAAGTTGCCGAGTTGGATGCATCCGAAGGAGGAGTTCGGGGTTTCTGCAGTTTCTTATAGACCCCCAGCTTCCTCTTGAGTTGCCTCAGCTCCACCGACGTCTTCCTTGGGGAACGGTTAGTTGTTGTGGGCTGGTGTCGGGAGAGGATGTTGACTCTGTGGAAAGGTCAGCTTCTTTCCACACTCCTTAATTTGGTCCCCATGTTCTCCGGTACCGGTACGATCTCCAAAATTTTCTACTTCTTTTGGAGTCCCTCCCGAAATTTCTCCAAGGCTCTCGCCCCTCGAGAATAATAAGTTTTCATTAAAGCATCTTTATAAGATAACTTTAACGAATCCTTATAATTTCTTGGGTCCTCAAGGAGTTTCCCCGTCTCGGCAGAGTCTTTTCTCGCGGAGCCATAATTTTTCTCGGCGATTTTCCCTGGCGAAGACTGGTCGTGGGGTGGAGATTTTTCCCCATCATTTTCTCCTATTCGCGTCGAATCAGCTGCGTCGAAGTTGATTTTTCCGGAAGTCCGCGGCCGCTTTCGGATCTTTTCTTTTTCGCCAGCTAGATCCGTATTCATAGGCGAGCTCCGTTTTTTGTCTTCTGATTGGCCGAAGGATTTCCGCCACTGTTGCGTGCACGATACTCTGCGCGTGCGGCTTTCATTTTGTTGCAGTCAAAGATTCGATGACCCGGCACCCCGCAAAAATCACACGTGAAGTTGGTGTTTTTCGGACGTGGCCGCCCTTCGATCCTGTCGACTTCCATCGGGCCGGCGAACGTGTGGTGAGCCGAGCGGTCGCCCTGTCGCGT